GCCAGTTGTTTGCGAAGAGCTCATAATCTTGTTCTAGGCGTCTGAGTATTTTTGTCTTATGCTTGTGATTCTAGGTACCTGGATGACAGTGCTGCCATGAGATCAGTTCTGGAGCCCAATTGAGGACCTATGTACACCTGGGCCGGGATACTCAAAACTACCCGTCCGTTACAAGACCGAGGACGTCCTTACTACATCGTACCCTCCGATCTCCTTACTAGATTGAAAACCACCCATTCTCAAATTACGATGTAGTAAGCACGTTGTAAGGCCCGTGTTTACATTTTAAGTTAATTCCATTGACTACCAAGAGAGGGCAGACCGGTAGTCGATTGACCAATCAGCAGTCAGCCTGCTAGACGTAACAGCCAATGGAAAGCCATGGCTGTCTTATTACTATGGAAGGCCCAGCGACTGTCTTCTTGAGTGATATACATCTACCTTTCATAGTACAAGTTTTATACCCAAAGAGAAAATGATAACACGCAGCAATCATCTTCAAGTAAAAATAGAAATATAATATACATTAGTATTTCCTATATTTTCAACAATGTGCTTATGAGGTCTCACATACATTTTTTCGGAAGTATAAGGCAAAGAATAATAATTTCGTGTGAAAGTAAATTGATGTAAACATACATACGGAAGAGTCACTGATTATCGGAATAATAATTCTTGAAAGGATTGTCTACTTGGATATTTGGCATCAAAGAAGGTTATAGTAAAACAAATCTAAGAAATCTGTGATATCGCAATAAATGTTTATCCTCTTCATTGAGAGAAACTAATGATTCCCAATAATAATGTCTTTCACGCTGCAATGCTCGGTCATGAAAATGAGCAGCCACCAAAACACTGTAATTTGTCGTCTGTTAACTCAAGTTACAGTCAATTTATATTTGATTCAAGACAACGGAAATATATGGGAAACAAAGAATATGCCAGACAATTGAAATTCCCCGGTATTAAATAGGGAAAAGGCATGTTACTGTCAAACAAATGTTTTTTTGTCGACTAAGTAATCGGGAAATACTATATCCGGTTTCAAATCCGCACGAGAGCCCCGGAGCAGTTGTAACTTACAAAGTACTTTACAATGTGTGACGTCATAATAAGGCTGTTAATTTTGTCTCGAGTATAACCTTCGGAGGCCATTGTAACGGCTCCGTGGCGAGATACAACATTGTAAACTGTTTTGAGTATCCGGCTCCTGGGGTCCCCCAGAATATTGCTTGCAGTTTCATTTTGACCTGTCTCTAATTTTTCTCTTAGTCTTGGCTTGGTGGCAATTAGGACGACAGAAGCATAGTCCATAATGGGACGGACCGATGACACGTGCAAAGAATGATCTCAGTACTTTATGTCCAGCTCCTGTGTGTCTCCCAGTCATTGCTCTCACGACAGAGTCTTGCTTTGGTTCGGTCAACTAGGTACTGGACCTCCTTTTGGAAGGAGAGCGTCTGGCCAATCCTTACCCCAAGGTACTGGAAGACTTGAACCCATTCTAGGCCCATTCCCTGGACACGCAGACTTGTGCCATGGACATTCTGTTTCAGAGCCGTGGCTTTTGATTTGGCTACAGAGATCTTTAGTCCTGTCCTACCCCACTCCCCAGATACAAGGTTCAGACAGCACTGGGCTCCTCTTGGACAGTGTGGTTTTCAGCTTATATTCAAAAGGGGTCAGTTGCCAGTTGTGATGCTCCAATCACCAGGTTCTTTGATATAGGACGAATCTGCACGTATGGTCAGGTCAAATTTGGGCATCCCTAAGTGAGAATTTCTTGGAAGTAATTAACATAGACAGAGAAGGTCAGGAAGACGGGTCACACGCGGACCTCTTGGAGCCACGTGCGAGTTGAGGTCATCACACAAAACCACAAGTAATTCATTGATATTAATATAAGGATTTATTTAATTCTATCAATATCTATGCACTTTCACTATACACACACACACATACATAGATATGTGTATATATGTATATATATTTTTATATATATATATATATATATATATATATATATATATATATATATATATATATACACATAACATATATATGTGTGTGTGTGCGTATATATATATATATATATATATATATATATATATATATATATATATATATATATATATATGTACATGCATATACAAGCAAGCAATTATCTATGATTACGGTTATGTAGATTCATTGTATTATATTTGTCTTACAATCTATTCGTGGAAAGACCAATTGGTTCCCTGGCATCTAACTCCCCGAGCAGACATTTTACACAACCTTCGATCTTCCAGCTTGATTCGCCGTTACATAAACCCAACTAGCGGTCCTTTGCTCCCCAACTAAAGCGAATCCTAAGCCAAAGCACTAATAGCGTTGCGCAAGAAGTTACGCAATTCTTACCGACTCGCTTTCCCGTCTGCGTCAGGCTCGGGGGACGCCTGGTACTGGAAGTAGACGAGGAAAGGCGCTCAGAGCTGACGGACGTGTGTTCTGTGGCTCG